CTTACCTGCGAGGGCGAAGCTGTCTGTCTGAGGGAGGGACCACAGTCCGGGTGGGAGGGGCTGGTCGTGAAGCTTCCTGAGCTAACCTCCGCCTTGGAGAAATAGGCCAAAAACTTGGCCTGGCTGGGAGAAGAAGCGGCCAGAAAGAAAAAGATGGAGGAGATGGAGGCGTGGAAAAAGGAAAAGGGGGTGAAGTTGCCCAAAGAATTGCCTGAAGAAGAAGAAAGAAGAGTTACAGAGGAGGACAGAGAAGGAAGCAATCAAGGGCCCAAAAGAAAGGAGGGAGGAGAGAGGAGAATCGAGTACAGGTCTACCCCCACAGGAAGAGGTGGAGATAATTGTAAAGGACTGGGTGGCAGGATTATCTTTGGGGGAGGACAAAGAAGCAAAGTTGATAGTCCCCCAAATACAAAGAGAAACAATAAGAAGAGAGATGGAGAGAGAAAAGAGTCCCCTGCGTCGTCAGGCAAAAGAGCAAGAGAAGCAGTTGGAGTGGAAGTTGTGCCTCGCGAAGGAGAAGACGAGGTGATTGGAAATGGTAGATAAGATGGAGGAACTGAAGGCGAAAGACAAGTGGCTGGGTAAGATGAAAAATGAGACTGAGATAGGGAAAAAGATTGACACCCTCTCTCATAGGGTGACCTCTGTTCTGGCAGCTCAGCGTGAATAGATCAGGCGCCTTTGTGGGCACGATATAGCACTTGCATCCATACGAGCCTGGTTCCACGACTTCGCCCAGTAGATGATGATTCATCTCGTAAAACGAAATGCAATCCGCAATCGGTAGAGCAAAGAAGTTTTGCAGCGATGCGATCGAGGGTGTCAAGTTGGCAGTCCCCAAGGAGGAAGAATCACAACCCCGCCGCGAGAAGGGATGACGACTTTAACAATTGGGAGGCAAGTATTAAATCGTATCTATATTTACAGAACGTGCCTTTCGACGACCATGTCCTAATAGCTTTTCGGCCTTGAGTGGCGAAGCAACTTAGTTTCGCCAGGTCTCTCGCACGAGTCGCTCGCTGCAAAAATGATATGGTCGCTTATTCTGTCATTGGTAACCTCAACGATTTCTTTGCTGCACTGCGAGAACCTTTTACGGACATCATTAGAGGATTGAAGGCTTCCGACAAACTCCAAATGATCCATAAGCGACCTTGGAAGAGTGTGCATGCACCGGAAGCCGCTATTGACGAAYTCATTGTTTTGCCTTGCCATTGAGTTACAACAGAAGTGCAGCTAATCCACCTCTTCTATTGTGTGTTGCCCGCGCAATTGCAAGGGCATTTCTTTAAACCACCAGTACCTGGCCTAGCCAAAAACGCACCGCGACTTCGGGGGTTCAACAAAGGCTCGRCACTAAAATGGGTGAAGAAGMTGGTGGGCCCACGAAAAAGAAATTGGTGTACCCCAGGCCTAAATCATCGTTTTYGCCGTGCATGTTTCCACATGYACGGACGCAGCGGCTAAACTATCATACAGGTTCCAAAAAATGGAAAAAATGGACATCCCGGATCACTGACATTTTCTTCAAATGTATTGGTCCTTGAATAGGGGACCATACATTCGAAATGAGAACTCATGGGAACACTGTGTTCTTTGTAACTTGCAGCCCTCATTCGAAATGAGAACTCATGGGAACACATTGCTCTGGAGACTTCTGGATTCGAATGTATGGTCCCCCGTTCATGGACGGTACATGCAGAGAAAATGCCTTGGCTGAAGAGAAAAGAAAACGACCTTTTTCAAGGCATTTTCATGCCATAATTTTAATAATTGTATCAGGCTGTTATTTGGGCACTATACATTCTATTTTATAAGTAACTGGGCGTTTCCTTTTACCTTTTTTTTTCCCCTTTTTAGAACAAAGAAAATCTAGGCTGCTTTTGCTGCGAACTCCTGTGAGTGGTGGGGTGCAATCTTGCATTCCTTTTTCCTTTTCCAGGGCGTGAATCTGCATGTGCGAGGTTTAACCCTCGCGGGGCCCTTGTCAAACATGCACATGTTCTGGGCAGAGGCCGCCCGCAAGCCAAGTGCCCGCCCTAAGTGGMGGTGGGCCTGAAAATTCACTAGAGGCCAAAATTTGAC